TTTAGCCGCTGGGACGTCCATTCCGTCTTCATTTCTTTTCTGGTTAAACCCCCCCCCCCTTCTGCCCAGACTTCTCTGGGCTGGATTTTATTTCTTGTTTAATACCTGGCCTGTTCTGAGACTTGGGACGGGTAATATCATGGGGTGAGCATTCACACATCCGATTCCCTCCCAGGAATGGCCTTTCTTCTTAAATGCTCTTGGGGTTGAGGTTCTCCAAGCCTCTCCGACACCAAGAGGAGCTACTCCTGGGAGCCACTTTCTTTGCAAAGGGGCTTTCTGGCTCTCCTGTCCCGATCCGATCCGTAAGACAGTGGATTCCCCAGGCACTAATGTAGGATCAAGGGCTGGCCTTGAGAAACGCATGAAGAACTGCTCTTCTGTTGCTTTGTGTTCACAGATATACTGCTTCTGTACATGTGGGTTTCATTCAGCTCACATAGCTAACAGCCCTTAATTGACCCATGGCACACTAAACTTGCTTCACTTCACGTAAACATGATCTTTTTTCTCTTGCCAGATTTTTTCCGAACACATAGTGGGAATCAGTACATGCATCCCTAGAAGGGGAAACATCTGAGAAACTCTCTAGTCTCCCTGCAAACCTGGCATGTGCTCAGTTTGAGAAAGGAAGAAAGAAAGATTTTATTTTGTGTTTAATACCATTCACATGTTCATTTTTTGAGATCGGGAGCAGATTCCCGCCTGTTGTATAGTCAATGTCGCATCAGGATTGAAAAAGTCTGCCCTGTATTTCAGTAAAATTCGACTTCTGCTCTTATGTGCGTCTTTTTTAAAAAAACAGGGTGTTATTAAGAGAAAGTGCCTCCCCACTTCTGGTCTCTGTTTTTATTGCCTGATTCGGAGCATGTTTTGCTCGGAAACAAATTCCACTAATCCCAATGGGGCCACGTCTGGAATAGCTGCGGCTACTCTACAGCCCCAAATCATTTGCTCCCGGATTTTGGGGATGCATTGCGATAGAATTTCCACAGGTATCTCGAAATACAGTGGAAATTACTGCGGGTTATGCACGCCTAAATCTGAACTGGATTGTGACCACCACAAGTGTGCATAGGATCGGGCGCATCCGCTTCTGAGATCCAGGCAACGGCCACGAATAGGTGCTGAAGGAGAGAAAGAGGGAGAAAATTTGAAACGCCAAAGCAGGCGGCTTCTTTGCACAAAGTAACTCAACCTCGGGTCTGAAAGTCCATAATTTTATTTTACTCTATCTAGCAGAATTTTGTAACAGATATTAATGGGCGCATAAATAGTGCCAAGGACGTATTGAACAAAGCTACTAAGTACAAAGAGGTTGTTCCGGAAGAAAATTATAAATAAATAGAAAGAAAGAAACCCATTATTGTAGTTCGAGTTGATTCATACCTCCAACAGGGGCCCAATTCTGAAAAGCGAGATCTTGTCTTCGAGTAAATACTCAACTATCGCCTGTCATTCGAGCGCATAAAATAATTCGGATTACTTAAGGTCCTCATCATTTCGTTACATCAAAAGGAAGAGGAGAGTAGCATGACGACCCAAAGGGGAAGGGATCTTTCGAAGGCTTGCCTAATTCTCTCAAATCCTAAATATATGATGTCGAAGCAAGTCCCGTTGACTTGAATGAATGGTTATTTCTTGGAGTTGCAAATTGATTGGGTGGTGGTGTTATTACATTCCAGCCCGATCTTATTTAGGCTGTTTGGAAGCCTTTCGCTAGGAATTCAGAGGGAGTTACTCCCGAGTAAGGGCATGTCTGATTACAGATCCTAAATACATTTACTAGGGAGTAAGTCTTACTGAAGTCAAGAAGGTTTACTTCTTAACCAGGCTTGACACTGAAGCGTTGGTTTGAAGGTCTCTACCAGATTGCTAGTAACAGCAATTCTTTAGTGATGGGTCCCAGGATTAAATACACAAACAAATCTTTAAATACATAAATAAATCTGTAGCACCCTAAGCAGGGTTGTCCAGGCTGCTGCTCGAGGCAAACTTACTCAGGAGTAAATCCTACTCTCCCGACTTCTTGAATAAACGTGCAGAGGGTTGCAAGAAGATGGGGGTCACCCCCTACTTCCTTGGGCAACAGAGGCCGCCTTCCCCTGGAACCATAGTAGAAAGCCACGCGGTTTACTGTCGAGTAAACGAGTTTAGGATCGGGGCGTCCAGGTGGGAGCAAGGGCAACAGAGGCTCCTCTCGAGTAAAAGAGAGGCCGATGGATCCTGCCCCCAAACAGACCGCAGAGTTGCAGAAATCTGCGGATCCGAACCGGTTCTGCCTCCTCAATTTAGCGGAGTGGGGTGGGAGAGAGAAGAATCGCCTGGCTTTCTCCGGAGTCAGTCTGGGACTGGTTTCCTTTCTTTATCCGCAACTGCTTAAGCTAAAGCGAGCGGGCCAACATCTGAGGAACGGTGAAAGCACGTTGCTCACCATGGGGAGGCCCCGAGGGACGAGCAGGGACACGGCATAAGATTTATGTCCTCCCCGCCCGCCCCAGCTCGAGGTGGAAAAGGAGGCGACTTTGCTGTCCTCGAAAGCTGGGCGCCCTCCTTCCGGGCGATCCCCTTCTTCACCCCCCCCCCCCCCCTCCCCCATAGCAGGGATTCCCGCCGCGCTCCTCTCCTGGCACGTTTACTCGGAAGCAAGTCTCGCTGGCTTTCTGGTAGCCACTCCGCTCTCGCTTCCCTGCCCGCCTTTAGCTGAGCCCGCAGCCCTGCCCGCGGAGATGGCAGCCCCGCGCTACAAATGGACGGCACCCCGCGTCTCCT